TTGTGTTTGTTGGATGAGTGTGTGCGTCACTTGGGGCCCTTTTGGTGTCTAGTCTCTTTCTTTTTATTTATTTATTTATTTATTGGGTTTTTTTTTTGCTCTTTTTGTTTGCTGCAGGGGGATATGTGTGTGTGTGCGTGTGTGCTGCCCTCATTTGTATTTCATCTGCCTCGTGGGGTGTGCGTTGCTGGCGCTGGGCCGCTGCGATTTGTTTATTTGCGGTGCCTGTGCGTGTTGCTGCAGCTGTGCTTGTCTCTCCTCCACCGCCTCGTAGATCAGCTTTGCACCGCTAAGCGACTCTACTCACAATGACGACGATGAGGTGCGGTGTGGCGTGCGTCCTGTTGGCACTTGCGCTGTGCTGCGTGCACTTGTCGCTCTCTGAGGCAGCTGCGCCATCGTCTGCTCGTACTCGTGCTTCCGTGGCTGATGGTGCTCCTGTTGCGAATGCTACTCCTGCAGTGGTGCCGGATAATATAAATGAAGTGCTGGAGACAGCCCTGAAAGCAAAGCTGAAGGCGCAGGCAGAGTTGACGGAGGCCAGAGGGTACTGCCTGGAAGCGAAGCAGAGCTCTGATAAGGCGTTGGAGGATGAGAAGAAGGCTGAGGAGATTTTGAAGAAGCTTGACGAGGGGGCCGTTGTGCTGAGCAGGTCGCTGCTGCATGCGAAGGAAGGTGCAGCGGCTGTTGCCGGATGCGAACGGCGAATTTGGTTGTGCTGAAGTCGGAAGGTGGAGACGCACAAGGCTGTGTGGGAGGTACTGGATCACTCCATTTGCATACAATTGAACTGGACGAAGCGCTCCACGGCGGTGTTGTAGAAGGTGAGATTGGTGGCGGGGCGAGCTATTGTCGAAGCGCCCGACGTGGGGAAGAATGCGGCGATGGCGGGGAATAACGCTGTGAAAACTAAAGGAAAAACCGAAGAGGCGCTTTTTGCAGTCAAGGAAGTTGGTTTTATTGCAGTTGTATTGCCCCGGAGGTTGGCGAAAGAGGGGAAAGTGCGACGTGTAAGCGAGCGGGTGAGAGCCGACGCCGCAGCTAAACGAACTGAAAGAACCGAGTTGGCTGCGAAGCTGACTGAAGAGAAACTGGGAAAAACAGTCGTGGGCCTTGGGAGTGGGGCCCTGCCAGATCCATGCAGTGCAGAGGTTAATACGATCACAAGAAGGAATGACGAAGTTCTTGGTGCGTGCGTGCGTGCGTGAGCTGCTCCTCCTCCTGCTTGCATTGAGCTGCGTGGTCATGTCTTGGGGTCTCATCTAAGTAATTGTAGGTGACATTTGCTGCGAATGAGCATAATTGGCTATCTTTCTGTTCGTTTGGTAAAAACTGATGTTATTTTATTTTGTAGACCTTCTGCTGGTCTTATTTTAACCCCGGTAGTAAAAACTGTGCATCTCACTACTCGGGTTGGTATTGTTGATTTTGTGGGTTTTTTTTTTCTTTGTCTTTGTTTCCTTCTTTTGCCTTCGCCTTGACGAAGCTCTGTAATGTGCTTGACTGATTTTTCTTTTCATGCTTTTGCTGTGGGTGTGTTGCATACTGCGCAGGCTGAGATGCGTGTTGTTGTTGTTGTTGTTTTTCTCTCTCTCCTTGCCGTTGCGCGTTCGGGCAACGCGTCATATCTTTCCACTGTTGCTTTTCTGTCTACATGAGTGAAGCTCAAGACAGATGCTGGCGACGCGTAACGTGCTGTGTTGCTTGGTGCTTCTCCTGTCCTACGGCAGCGTGGGCACGTTTGCGGATGCAGCATCAGTGAAAGCGAGGAGACAACAGGACGTGGTGGGAAGGGATTTAACTGGGACAAAGGCTCAAACGAGTGTGAATGTCCCGACGGATTTGAAGGAAACGAGAAGCAGGGCTTTGCGAGCAACAGAGCATGCCTTTAACAATGCTACTGAGGCTTCCAAACATTGCTCAAGGGCGAAGGTGGATGCTAATGAGGCCAAAAATCACGCCACCGAGGCAAAAAAGCTCTTGGAAACGCTTGGTGGGGACTTTGTGTCCAAGAGTACGGCTCTGCAGGATGCAAAGAGGGCGCATAACGAGTCTGTCGCTGCGCTGAAGAATTGTGTTGATGCGGAAAAGGCCGCTGCCGACGCTGACACGGCGGTTGTGTTGGCCCTTTATTGGGTGCTGAATCATTCCAAGGTGCAGCGTCCAACCGGACTTACGCTGAATGAGGCTATGGAGAGCGTCCATCAAAATACGTTGCAGGCCGTAAATGAGGCGAAGAAGGCCGAGTTGGAGGCTGATAAGGCAGCGGAGGCGGCACACAAGGCAGCGGAGGCGGCAAAAAAGGCGGCAACAGCACTGGTTACGGCGAAGGAAGTTGTCACGATGGCCGGGGAATTGAAGAAGCAGTTGGCCAAGGAAGAGCTGGAGAGAAGACAAAAACACGAGGCAGCCGTGGCAGCCGAGAAGCGGAGGATCCAAGAGGAGGCCTCAAAGGCTGTCAAGCGTGCTGAGGCAGCTGAGGAACTTGTCGCTGAGCTGTCATCCGCACATAAGCGTGGCGCAAAGGACTCTACGAGAAGCACTCGAGTGGGGGCGGATGGTGCCCAAAATCCCCGAAACATTGGGCTTGGCGGTAACAGTTACGTGTCAGCACTTGCGTCATCACTACTGTTGCTGCTGGCGATGACATCTACCTTCATCTCTATTACGGTGCTGTGCTAGATGGGAGCTTGGGCCCGGGGCATGGCCTTCTCCGCTGTATCAAAGAAGAAGGAGTTTAAAAAAAAAATGGCTCACAGGGTTGATAGGGTTTAATTGCATATTGAAATGGCTTTGCAACTGCTTCTCTGTATCAATTTTTCTTCCTTCATATATAGTTTCTTATCCCTTCTTTTTTTCCTCTCGTTTGCTATTGCTGCCATTTTGGTAACTCCGGTACTGGGCGCATCTTTTTTTTTAAAGTTTTTTACTTGTGCATCTCTCTTTCTTTGTGCTTCTCTGAGAGTTGGATCTTTTTTTTTTGTCTCTGTTTTTAATTGGGCGTTTTTTTTTGTTTTGCTTCTTGTTTTCGTGCGGGTTTGCGAGCGCAGGGTAAAGAGAGGGATGGGATGTTTTGTGCTAGTGTGAGGAGGAACGTTTTTCTTTTTTGTGTGTGTCTGTACGTGTCACTTTTTAAACTTTCCCCCACCCCCCTTCCCGCGCCGGGAGAAAACGCGGTGGAAGCACGCGTCTTCGGGTTCCTGCGCGGTCGCGCCCCATCAATGCGGCGCCCCCACATGCATTGGTACACACTCTGCGTGGGCGTAGACGTCGTGTTTCTTCCCTTGTGAATTTTTTCTTGCTTTTTAATTGCCTTTGGCGGTTGAATCACTCGGCACGTGCGCGTTAGCCTGGCGGGGCGCATCGAGCGGAGAGGCTTTTGATATTGCACACATTGGGCTGCGGTTCGGTGCTGCAGTGGACCCCGTAGTTCCCTCGTTTTCCTTATTTTCATTTCTCCACGCACACACACACACACACACACACACACACACACACACACGTGCGGAACGGCTGTAGTAGAAGAGTGCAAAAAGGGAAAAGAGAGGAGAAAGAAAAAGAGCGGTGAAAATCATAGAGGGCGGAAAGGAGGAGGAGGAAGAAGAATTCATTTTCTTTTTTGTATTTTCTAAGAGGACCAGACCAACCATGTCAGGTAGAGCGGTAACAGCACTGGGGACGTTGATGTCAGCGCCCAGTAATCGGGTGAAGATGGTGGATATGCACCCGAAGGAGCCGCTATTCCTCTGTTCGCTGTACTCTGGCGTGATCAACCTGTGGAATCTTGAGACGCAGCTGATGCTCAAGTCCTTTGACACAGGCACAGGGTTGCCAGTGCGATGTGTGCGCTTCATTCCTCGACTTCAGTCCTTTGTCTGTGGCACGGATGACATGATGATTCGCGTGTTCAACTACAACACAATGGAGAAAACGAAGACTTTTCAGGCACACGATGATTACATCCGCGGCATTGCGGTGCATGAGCAGCTGCCGATTATTTTGACCGCCTCTGATGACATGACGATTCGACAGTGGGACTGGAGCAAAAACTGGGAGCATGTAAACACCCACGAAGGCCACATGCATTACGTTATGGGCGTCGTGTTCAACCCCAAGGACCCTTCCACCTTCGCCACAGCCTCACTAGACTTCACCGTAAAAGTCTGGAGCATCAACAGCCCGGTGCCAAACTTTCAGCTTGAGGGGCACGTAGATGGCGTGAACTGTGTTGACTATTACCCTGGCGGTGATAAACCCTACTTGCTTAGCGGTGCGGATGATCAAACTGTGCGTTTGTGGGACTATCAAACAAAGGCCTGTTTACAGGTCTTTTCATACCACACAGCAAACGTTACCGCAGTCCTGTTTCACCCCAGTCAGCCTGTACTCTTTACACTAGCGGAAGATATGGAAATGAAGGTTATCGCAACCGAGACCCACCGCCTTCTTTTCAGTGTTGATCATTCTCGAATGAATCGGGGCTGGTCTATGGCAGCAAGGCGCTACACAAACGTTTTGGTGGTTGGATACGACGACGGGACAGTGGTGTACAAGGTGGGCGAGGACAAACCCGTGTACTCGATGGACTCCGCCGGAAAAATTCTTGTGGCAGTCGGAAATGAGGTGACACGTATTGATGCGAAAGGTATTCCAAATGACGTGGTTGATGGGGATGTGCTTTCTCTCCCAACAAAAGACATGGGTGCTCTCGAGACCTCGCCCTCTGCAATTGCGCATGGCCCTAGTGGACAATTCATTGCTGTGATTGGAGAGAATGACTACACGATTCTTTCATCGCTCTCCATGCGACCCAAAACGTACGGCAGGTGTCTCTCTTTTGTGTGGGGTACTGAGAATGGTTCCTACGCCGTGTTGGAGACGTCCATGACGTTGAAGATTTACAAAAATTTTAAGGAACGCGCTGCAATCAGCCTCAATGAATCTGCAGAGAAGTTATTCAGTGGTCCGCTTTTGGGGGTTTGCACGGCGTACAGCGTCACCTTTTACGACTGGGCAACATTGAATCTTATTCGTCAGATCGATGAGTACCCCAAGATGGTGCAGTGGAGCGACAGTGGGGAGCTGTTGGCTATAGTCTCTGACACATCCTTCTTTACGCTGCGATTTAGCGGTGAGGCGGTAATGGAGTTTCTTGAGACGCAGCAAGGCACCCCTGAGGAGGGGCTGGACTTTGCCTTTGAGGTTGTAGAGGAGGTGGATGAGAGTGTGAAGGAGGTTTTATGGGTTGGGGATTGTCTCTTATTTGTCAACCAAGCGCATCGACTGAATTACTACATTGGCGGAGAGACCAACAGCATTGCGGTGCTGTCACGAAACCAGTACCTCCTTGGATACTTGCCAAGGGAAAACCGAATTCTATGCATTGACAAGGAGAAGAACATTACAAGCTATCTGTTTCGCTTGAATGTTATTGAATACATGGCAGCGATTGTCCGTGAAGACTTTGCGACCGCCGAGGAACTGTTCCCTTCCATTGCGACGAGTGAACGACTGCGGCTAGCACAATTTCTTCAGGCAAAGAATCATCTTGAGATGGCGCTGGAAGTGACCACCGACGATGACCATCGCTTTGATTTGGCGGCGCAGCTAGGAAGACTCTCTTTGGCAAGAGAGATAGCAGAACGGTCTCCGTCTGTGGTCCGTTGGAAGCAGGTGGCGGACATGGCCCTTGAGAAGGGTATGTTGGAGCTAGCAGAGGGAGCTCTGCGCAACTGTGGCGACAGCAACGGTCTCCTCTTGCTCTATTCCTGCAAGGGTGACATGGACGCCATATCAAAGCTGGGAGACACGTGTATTGCGAATGGGAAGGCAAATGTCGCGTTCACATGCTTCCACCTAACCGGGCGTTACACGGATAATGTGGACCTGCTTTGTCGCACCGGGAAGGTTGCCGAGGCCGCCTTCTATGCCCGCACCTATTGCCACAACAAGGTGGATGAGGTCGTGATGAAGTGGAAGGTTGCAGTCGCCTCGCTGCCGCGCGTGCGTGAAGCCATCGCTAGCCCAACAGCGTATCCAAATCTCTTCCCAAACATGCGGAGCGTGCCAGCGTCACCACCGCAAGTTGTTGGGCGCGTGCCGCAGCGAAACACAAGCGACGAGCAGTTGGGTTATGAACCCAGCGAGACCATTCAGGAGGGAGGTGTCAGCGCTGATTGCTTGGAATCCCCGCAGGCGTCCAAGCCCCCCACGGTTTCACGCGGCAATAATTTAGGCTTGCCTGCTGACCTACCTTGTTTGACGTCTGCCGCAACTCTGAATTCGCCCGGCAACATGCCAGCCGCGCCACCTCCTTCGTTGGCGAGAGAAGCAGAGGGAGATGCAACACCGGCTGCTCTGCCATCTATTGACGAGTACACCAACGACACCGAGGAATGGGCTTAAGCTTCTTGTCCCACCCCCACCCCCAAGTAGTGCGCACTTAACACACACACACACACACACACACGCAATGGGCGCGGACAAAAAAAAAAAAAAGATGATTTTTAGGCGTTTTTTTTTGTTTTGTTTTGGTAATAAACAACCATCTTGTGTATCTACAGGAATAAAATGACACGGAACAAAGAAGTGGAACACGATTTACATCTACCCGTATGCAGAAGTCTTGCTGTGTTGCCTTATAGTAGGAGCAACCAGAGCAGAAAGAAGACCAAAAGAGGGCAAGCTCTTTTCATGCAGTTGCCATGCGCATATTGCTAGATGAAAGCCGAGGTGGTGAAGGGTGGTGTGCTGATGATGGTCGGATGACTGATGTTTTTTTTTTTAAAGATTTTTTCCCTCCGTGTTTTTGCGGGCGTTGCTGCGCGCTTGTGCCCGTTTGTGTGCTGTGTCGGTTTATGTCGTTTTTTGTTTTGCTTTCCCTCTTAGTTGCCTTTATGCCGTGGATGGGCGCTGTGAATAGTGTTTCGTGCATGTTTAGTAGGCTTCGTTGCGCGGTGGTGGCGGTGGGGATCTCCTGCCGGTGCCTGCACCAGGCGACACCCTCGCTTTTTTTTCCGCATGTTGCCGGCGACTGGACGTGTGTCTGCGGGTTTTCCAACTTTGCATCGAGGGCGGTGTGCTTTCAGTGTCACAGGGCGAAGTCGGAGCCTTCTCTCGTCGGCGGTGAGCCGCCGAAGTTTGTGGACACAAAGTACAACGGCTTAAGGCGGGGTGACTGGGTGTGTGCATGCGGGGCGCACAACTTCGCGAAGCGGGAGGTCTGTCTGTCGTGCGAGACCGAGCGGAAGTTAAGTGATAGGCAGCGAGAAGGGAGCAGCTCGCGACTACTCCCCGGTGACTGGATATGTAAGAAGTGCAACGCGCATAACTTCCGCGCACGCAGGGAGTGTCTGCGGTGCGGGTGGAAGCCCATTGCTGTGGGTCCCACCGGGGCCGCCAGCACTGGTGCCGGTTATACCACTGGGGTCATGCAGTCACCGTGGATGTGTTTAGCGTGTCATGCCGTCAACAAAAAGCAGGTCACTTCCTGTGAGGTTTGCGGTAGCGTGCGTGAAGCCTTAGCAGTCTCCGCACCGTCGGCCCCAATGTCTTTACGGCCCGACGACTGGCACTGTGGTCAGTGTGGTTTTCTCAACTTCTCTTCAAGGATAAGTTGCAAAAATTGCAGATCACCGTCTGCAAAGGAGGACGGCGCAACTGACCCCTCGCTTTGGGTTTGCAGGTGTGGTTACAAGAATTTTAGGGATCGGGAGTCATGCCGTGATTGTGGGGCCTCGAGGCCGGCAGGGCCGTAGGGGAACCTGCAGTTGGGGGGCGTCCCTTTCTCACACTCTTCCCTATTCGGGACCGGGGAGATGTCACAGATACGAGGATTGCTGTAAGCGTATGATGCATATATATATATATAGCGCACAACTTTTCTGTTTCCTTCCCATATTCTCCTCATTTATTGTTGTGGGTTTATTTTTGTTGTTCCCATCTCTATCGTCTTCACTCTCATTTGTCCACAATCTCCATCGCCCCACTTTTTTTTTTTCATTCCCTTTCTTTTGTTTCTTCAAAATAATAATAATAATTCACACAAATGAATGTGCTCATGCAGGGGTTTTCATGCTATCGCTACCTCCTTCCATCCCCTCCTGTGAGAGGGCGACGATGCAGATGGTGTGCGAGGCGCAGCGGCAGTACCTTACGGCTCACATCACGCAGTTGTACGCCAACACTAACCCGGCCGAGCTTTGGGGAAGCATCGTGAAATACCGGGAGCGAAACAACACGGATGCGCTTGACACGGTAGAGTCGTACGATGAACTGCGGTTATCCTACATTGGATTTAGGAAGGTCGTTTATAGTATTATTTTTCACGTTTCACCTGAGGAGGAAAATCAGGCGTCCGCGGAGGAGCGAGAGGCCAGAAAGAGCCTCTATTTCAACCACCCCTTTCTTTCACCGGCAACATTCCTTGCCTTCCCGCGCGCGCAAGACGGGACAATAGCTGCGGTTCCCATGTATGCCTTCGCCGCAAAGCGCCTGCTTCTGTACAGGATGCGTATAGAGCTTGAGCTGGTGGCCAGAGTTTTACCACCGGCTCTTCAGGACCCTGTCACGAGGGTCACGCATCTTTTGGTGTGTCCCCCGAGTGCGTCCTCCCCCCTTTCAAACGGTCTCACGCAGGAGGATATTGAGACGTTTTTATACGAATTGTTGCCCAACCTGCGGCTGGTTAGGGATATGCCGCCCTGGATGCAGCCGTACTACCTTTGCCACGCCTCCAGGAAGTTTATGTTTATGTGTGACACAAGGCGCACAGGGGCGATATCTATCGAAAGCATGATGAAAAGTGACGTATTCTCAGAGCTTTTAAGGATATTTGAGAGTGATGCGAATGATGCCATAGCAGCTTTCACAGAAGGGTGCGCAGTGGACGTGGCCGCGACGCTGGTGTCAGCCGACGCCGCCGAAGACGACACGATTCCCGCCCTTGTGCTCTTCTACGAGGGTGAAGGCAATGACAAAGACGATATGTATGTAATAAAAACCTTGACGGGGAATGTCGTTTTGAAAGTTCGCCGCAGCCAGCTGTACTGGAACTCTGGCTCAACCGACTTTCTCCAGCCGGATGTGCTCTGCATGGATAACTGGTTTTCTCTGGCCCTTATGGCTCGCATTTACGAGCACTTTACGAGTCTGGACATTGACGGGGACGGTGTTCTTACTGTGGATGAGCTCGCTCGCTACAGTGACGGCAGCTTCACCCGGCTGGTAATTGATCGGACCTTTGAGTGTCACGTCCCTCACAGCGGTAAACGACACGTCATGGATTACAAGACGTACTTGGACTTTGTCATCGCCACAGAGCACGCCGCGACTCTCCCGGCGATGAAATACATCTGGAGCATACTTGATCTCGAGGAGACCAAGTCGTTTGTGACGATTGAAACACTACGGTGCTTCTGCAAAGAGATCGCCAAAGAACTCATTGCGAATGGACTAATGACAGACATTTCTGCGCAGTCTATTCTGTCAGAGCTGATAGACATGATAAATCCAAAGTGGCATGAATGGGTTGAGCTGGACGATATAGTGCGTTCAGGCCATCAAGCCACTGTTCTTCCAATCCTCCTGAGCTACCGCAACTTCTACGCATACGACTGTCGCGAACAGACAGCAGCCGTCGCCAATGACGAGTATGCCTAGGCTGTGTTGTGAAACTATTTTGTGGGAATGCATCTGTGGTGCAGAGGTGGCCACAACGTCATGATCATAAATGTTAGTGGCACACTCTTACTGCAATGGAATTGTCTTGCAGTTGTGTCCTGCACTCTGCCCTTCTCTTGGCGTGTTCATCACTCCCCACTTTTTTTGTTCTGTTTGCCTACCTCGCTTGGTCTCATTTTGCACACACACACACACACACAAGGTAGGGGTGCAAGACACACACACACACGGCAGTAGCATCAGGATGGTGAACTACCCGAAGAAGAAGACAATGCACTGCCCGGATGCAAGATGCAACGCGCACAAGAGCTTCAAGGTTGTGCAGTACAAGGCAGGCAAGGCACGTCTGTATGCGCGCGGTAAGCGGCGCTACGACCGCAAACAGTCCGGTTATGGTGGTCAGACGAAGCCCATCTTCCACAAGAAAGCCAAGACGACAAAGAAGATTGTGCTGAAGCTCCAATGCTCTAGCTGCAAGTCGATCGTTCAGAACGTGCTCAAGCGCACGAAGCACTTCGAGCTGAATGACAAGAAGAAGACCGGCAACAAGGACCCCACATGGTAAACCCCGCCATTTATTCCGTTTTTTTTACTTTCTCTTTTATTCCTTATACATGTATGCAGGCTTTTTCCCTGCTTTCCCACCCTTTGAGGCTGTAGCTGTGGTGGGGTGTGTGTGCCGATTATTTTCCTGTGCTTCTCGCCAAGCGTCGTTCACACCTCTTTTTTTTTCCTTTTTCCCTTGTTTTCTGCGTCTTCTGCGGGTGCCGGTAGTTACACGTCGTCCTATTCAACCTTTAAAAGAAGCCACACGAGTTTCTGCACATCGAAAACATGTTTCGACTCTCGTATCGTTTCATGGCACGCCCCGCTCTCCGAAAGGGGGCTGTAAAGGTTGCCAAGGCAGCGAAGGTGCTGCCTGCCAAGGGCCTGGGGCAGCCTGCCGCCTCGGCTCTTAAGGCCCCCGTTGCGCCGCTGCTCGAGATGGTGCCCCCAAAAGTGCCGACACTTGGCATTACACCACCGTCACACGCCACCGTGAAGCCAGCGGACTCTGGGAAGTTGAAGACAGCTTCCCCCAAAAAGCCGGCAAAGAAGCCGACCAAGCATGTCGCAAAGGTGACGAAGGACGCACTCCACACGCCCACGAAGGCGAAGGCGAAGCCAGTGACGCCGAAATTGGGCACAAAGCCGGTGAAGCTGCGGCTGGCCAGCAAGCGTAGGCTAAAGGCGAAGGGGGCGCCGAAGGCTCC